CTAAGTGTAAATGCTCAACTGACTTCTGTGTCTGTCCCGGATGACAGACGACGCACCCCACTATTTGCCACTTATCTGACCCGCACTATGAATTAGTTGTACTAATTAACTACTAATTAAATAAGGCCCTCCATTATTGTCAGGCTCTTCATTTTTACTAACTCATGAAGTACTGTGCTCCAGAAATGTGTGGAATTTAAGCTACGCTCTTGTTTCGTGCGAACGAAGGCGAGCGTATTGGAAGCCGTCGAAGAGCTAATGTGAATGAAAAATACAGGTACCGTTATTTACTGTACACATACAGCTTGACTAGTACTACTAGTATGTCAGTTTAATGAGTTTAGTATCACAGCAGACATTAATTCTAGCAAATAATGAAACCCATAATGAAGAAGAGGAATGCAGAGAATAATATAATTCATGCAATTATCCATATATTCAATCTATCTTATTTTTTGTGCGTTTTTGCATATATACAAATGCATAAACAAATACTGTGACTACTTCGGTGTGGGTGTGGGTGTTTGTGTATGTGTACGTGTGTGTCTGTCTGTCTATCTGAGTATTTCAACTGACAGCCAGGCAGGCTCCGGTGCTAAAATTACCAGTGGATCAATCGGCCAAGTGCTACCTTAGGATGAGAAAATCGCTGGGAGTCTGAAATTTTAAGATGTTCCCGGCCCACGTACAATATCAGATTCAGCCTCCAGGTGTGTGTGGTTCTCAAGTACGGATCCAAGGAATTTTTTGACGGGAAAATTGCTAAATTGAGAATCAGAAATGTTAGAAAGCTGAAATTTTAACGGAATATTTCTTGTCCAAGTACCACGTAGTTGCAAAATTAATTTCCCGACTTCGAGGGCCAGTATGTCACAAATTCTAGCTACTGGATTTCCGAATGATCTTACTACAGCACGAAATACCGTAAAAACGTATCGTATGGGCGCGCCTGGTACGCGTCACCAATGATTTATACTATTAACCGATTTGCTAATCAGTCTTTTCTTTCTTTTTTATTCCTATTCCTTTCTTCTATTCTCCACCTCTGCTTCCAGCGCTTCGTTATGTTTCTCTTAATTAAATTTGCTTCTTTCCTGCATGGCCAGTGAGAGGTTGTACTGACAATCCCCATTCTTATTCGTATCCAATGCTCTGTCTTTACAGCACAGAGATGAAACACAGGCAGCAAACTTATCTGATCCTATCGAGCATGTAATTTTCAAACATCCCTCATAGATATTTATTAAGGATGGATCAACATAGTTGTGCAAGAAATACATGAGCATTCCATGCTGTTCAATAATTCGCCGGGCAAACTTGACAGCCTGCTTAAAAGCCATATGCAGTTTCCAGCTTTATGCAGCACACACGGTTGTTGTAGAATGTGGGATCATAGGAGAACGAAAGAACGACGGACTTAGGTTAAAAAACAAATTAAAAAAAAATGAAATACCTTGTCGTTGTGAAGTCGTTTGGTGATACTACGTGACATGCCTATTCTTCGGCTGATGCTTTGAAGGACCGGGTGTAAATGTGGAGGCGTAGGCAAGTATACGTGTGAGCGTGTTAGCAATATGTTGTTCGCCTGACATGCACTATATCAGACAGGAATTGCTGCTGCTGAAGCTGCTGGCTGCTTGGATGGGATGCTTCGATGAGTGGGCAAAAAGAGAATGCGAAAATCCAGGCGCTGTAGTGGCGGAACTTTAAAATCAGAAGAACTGTGAAGCTGTCACTTAAAATGCGTTCCGGAAAAAAGCATGAAGCTCGTTCGCTATTTACACAAGCACTGCAGCAGCTACTACTGGCTGCTGTTGGTGCTTCACGGATGATGCCATCCAGGTGGTAGCCTTGCTTGCTTGCTCTATGACTCACTTCTACGTCAACATATCTCGTGATCAGGATCGGCGAGGGCTTCGCATGACCCCGCCCGGTCTCTTGCTGTACCTCGCCGCTACTATCACCGATACCGGGATTTTTAGAACGATTGTGCAAGCAGTCTCGGTATTCTTGACATATCCCGCAATCATGGATTCTAAGAATTTAAACGATGACCATCGAAAATTTGGGAATCATTTGCTGAGCTTGGGACGATTTTGTGTTTTTAGTGCTATTAGCTATTGCTGCACAATCGAAGGTAAGGCGCAAGGGCACTGTGCTGTGCGTGTGCTTGTACGTGGAGCCTTCCATCGTCTTTAACTTTTTTAGATGCAATGTAATGTTGTTCGCGTTCTTGTTAAAACCGTTTCGTAATTCTGGATCGTTATACTGAGGATATACGAAGGTCTTTTTTTTTTAAATTAAAAAACTAGAATCTGCAAAAATTCAGAACTTTTTTAATATTTTTCCGTGTGTTTTTTCTTTTATTTCTTACTAAATTTATCGGACTCATTACTAATATACCAGTCCAATTTTATTTTAAAAGAATCCAGACCATCACCACCAGCCAAATTTAACAAACTAATTGTTGCAAAAGGTGTGCGGCGGTGGTCCTCGTCACTAAGATAACTGCTCAAGGTAAA